GAGAAGGAGGAGGAGGAGGGCAAGGAGGAGGAGGGAGGAAGGGGAACAGTGGGAGGGGGAGGCACGTTGAGGAGGAAGTGGAGGGTGCAGAAGGAGCGGGAGGGGAAGAGGGGGAGGGGCAGGAGGCGGAGGGGGATCACGGGCACGAGGAGCTGCAGGAGGGGGGATATGTTTCCTTTGGGTCTCGCATCCCAAAGGACGGGGGGGGCTGTGACGGAGAGGCGAGGCAGTAAGGGGGACAATCAGAGGGACTGTGGCTCATCCACCTGCGCTCCCCAATTCCCAAGTTGCAGGATGCAGAATCAGCGTTATGCAGTCACTGCCATCAAGGGTGGCACCCTAAGGCGGAAGAGCCCCTCCAGGTGCTTGGTGCTTGTGATTTGTGATGCTCTGCCCAATATGTTGTCTTTCCTGCGAGTCGGTTTGTTCTGATTTCGGAATTATGGTAACGGGCTGGGCTCTATGTTGGCCCTTGCTCCCGTGTCTGCAAGACTCGGCCGCACGCGTCGCCCTCATCCTGCGCTTCCCGCCTTCCTCCCTCCGCCCTCTTTCCTGCTGCTCTTCCCCTCTTCCCGCCTCCCTCCTCCGTCCTCGCTCCCCTCTCCTCTGCCGACCCTTTTCGCCGGGACACCGTTCTTGCTGGCAGTCCCTTCGGCGGCGACGGGGGGGGCGAGTAGCCCAGGGGGGAGCAACACGTGTATCCAGGGGCGCCGACGGTCCATGTGCTCGGCGAGGCTCCCCGACGAATACGTGTAATGCCCACCCCTGGGCCATTCGCCCCTGCCGTCGCCGCCGAGTCCCCGGGGCCCGTGGAGGGCCCCGGGGGAGGCCGAGAGCGGCGAAGCTAATTACATCGGGGCCTGCTTCCCGCGGGGCCCCCGCTCCTCCAAGGCGGGAACCCTGTGCTGGAGGGCACAAAAAACCCATTGGGGCTTTTCAGCAACGACCCGAAACGTATCCTGAAGGGCAGCCAGGCGGGACCTCCTTCGGAGCATAATGCGCTAACCCTCGTCGTCTTGGCCCCCCACTTCGTCGCGCCCCCCAAATCGTCGCGCTCGAGAGAGCTCCAGGGGCCGGGCGCTGAGCCGCTTTCGGACCATAGGGCAGTGTTCATAGTCCGACCCCATCGATCTTGTTCGGCATCATTTTCGGACGGCCCGATCTGATTCAATTCCGAGATTTCGACGATCCAATGCGGCCCGATGTTTGTGTGGCGACGCTGGGCCTCCTGGCTCGGCTGGTCCGGTTTGATTTCGACCCCGTGCTGACGCAGCCCGATTCGATTCCAGCTGATTTCCCGATTCGATGTTGATTGGTCCTGCCATTGACCCATCCAGCCGCGTGTCCAGAGGTCATGTTCTTCAGCCGTGTGAAGGTTCGTGGACCCTCGCGCTCGGCTGGCGCTCTCGCCCCGTTGTCTTCGGACTGCACGAAGGCGTCTGTCCGTCGCGCTCGACCTGCAGTGTCGCCCCGCTCCTTCACTTTTGGGGGTTGCTAAAGGTGCCCCTGGCCCAAGGTGCCCCCAGCTTTCCGCTCTAGTTGGGAACTCCTGGGGCTGCTGGGCCTCGTGAGGGATGCTTTGTAGGCTTCGGTGGCCTCCTTGGGAAGCCTGGGGGGCACCTTGGGCCAGGGGCACTTCTGGCAACACCCGACGCTTACCTTCTCATGCCTCCGACGCGATGCGTTCACCACGTGCGGGCCCCCGGAGGTCTGGACATGTTTCCCAGCACCAGTTCTTCATCTCGAGCCGTGTTTTGACGGTGCCAGGGCCCAGTGAGGGCTCGCCCCTCGGAGGCCGAAGATGGAGAACACTCCCCGTCGCGTTTTTTGACGAAACGAGAGGAGGTCTAGGCACCCCCCCCTCGGCCTCAATCATGCGATGCCCCACCGATCGAGGGCCGAATCTCGGAGGAATCTAGGCTCGGCAGGAAGGCTTGGCAGATGCTGCACAAGCCTGGCCGCAGCACGCCCTCGCCGAGGTGCCGCTCTCGCGGCGGCCCTCCTGCTGCGCCCCCCTGGCGGCCCGCAGCAGCCCGGGCTCAGGAGCAGGGCAGCGCCCCGCTCTGGGCGACGCTCGGGCGTGCCACCGGAAAGGGGTCGGCCTCCCCCCCGCCTCTGATGGGCTCCCGATGGCGGTGGCCCAGCGCGGCGGCGCCAAGCGCGCCCTCGGCGGCGGCGCCTGGCTCGAACGGCCACGCGCCCGCGGAGCCGGCCGCTGCCAGAGCATGCGCCGCGAGGCGGTCGCCGCGCTCGCGACCGCTCAAGCACCCCAGGGTTCCCTTTGCCTCGCTCAGCGTCTGAGCCCACTCGGCCGCCGAACGCACCCGCGATCGAGCCCACTCGGCGGCCGAGCGGGCTCAACTCCCTCGACCCTGCTGGGACTGAGCCCGCCCAGCTGCCCAGCCGGCGGCCGAACGGGGCCCAGACGCCGAACGAGGGAATCGTGGGGCAATTTCGGCGACTGCGAAGGGTGTGGTTACGCCAGGATGTGGCGATCTGCGGACTTAGGGCTCGGGGGGCACCACGTTGCCCTCGTCGGGCCTCCTCGGGGCGCGGCAGAGATCTCTGTCGAGGTCTTCGCCCCAAGGTGCGCGTTGGAAACCAGACCCCTCGGAATCGCCGAGAATTAGCCTGCCTCTTGCCGCGGCCGCCCGCCCATGCAGCGCTCGCCGGCGCGTGCCCCGCGCCTAATGCGCCGCCGAGGCGCGTCGCCGCGGCGCCTCGGCGGCAGGCGCCGCCAGCGCGACGCTGCCGCGCCCGCGCGCGCGCCGGCGGCTCGCCGGCGGAGCCGCGGCCGGCGGCCAGCGCCGACGGCTCGAGCGGGACGCTCGAGTTCGGGCTGTTCGCGGCCGCGGTCGCGCTGGTGCCCACGGGAGGGTCGAGGCACCGATGCCGCTGCCCTGCCCTCGTCTCCGCTCTCTCCTGGGCCTCTCGGGAGAGGCCATCGCCGCAGCGGTTGCATTCGCACCGAAATTCTGGGCAGAACGCACGCAGGAGAGGTCCAGGAAGTAACAGTATCGCAGCTTCGTGTGCTCGACAAGCAAGCCTATTTTTTCTGAGGTCCGCGCGCATTTCTTTGATCGGAGTTGGGCCCCTTGGCGGCATCTCCAGCGCCGATCCAAGAGATCCGCGCGAACCTCCGAGAAATGATGTTTCCTTCGGTATAGCGACGACCGTTTTGTCCCCAAGGTGCTGCCGCTGCTAGGGCCGCGCGTGCCAGACTCGTACCACCGCACCGAAGCGCTGCTCTCGGAGGTGCGGCGGGCGGCTGGAGCCCACGGGGAGGTGGCGATCCAGGTGGAGGATCGGCGGTTCAAAGATGGGGACCTGAGGTCTCGGCCTCCCACAGAGGATCCGAGTAGATCGGGTCGAAGGATCGCTCCGCATCGCCGAGGTATCGGCAATGTGGCTCGATGTGGAGCCCGACGACCTCAACGTCCATTTCGCCGAGATGCACCGCCGATGCATGGGCGATTCGGCGCGATCTTCCGACCCCATTTGCTCGGACCCCATTTGGGAGGCCTCTTTGAGGGATGAGGCCCTCAGGACGGATGGCCTCAGGCAGTCAATGTTCAGCTTGGGATTTCCTCCGTCCCATCGGGGCCCCATCTCTGAACGCCGGGAGGAGGTCCGGGATCCACTCGGCACCGGTGAGGCCGCGCCATCGTTGACGGTGGCCACGGCCTTCGACGAGAGCAGAGCGGGGCCGCCGCGTGCCCGGATGCTGGTGGTGGCCAATGAGCACGCTCGCGAGCTCGTCACGGGCGAGATCGCCCTGGGCGTCGTCGAGAGGCTGGCCAGCGCTGGGGGGCCCGAGCCTGGCAGCGCCGCGCTCCGGCTACGCGCCCTGCTGCGGCGAGGCCTCGAGATCACCGTCGTGCCCGTGGCGAGTCCCGAGGGCCGCGCGCTGGCGGAAACGTGGCGCCCGTGCCAGCGCGGCACCGCGGACGTGCCGCTGCTCTCCACCGACCTGAACCGGAACTTCCCCTTCGACTGGACGCCGGGGCTCGCCGCGAATTTCCTGAACTCGTCCCTCGAGCTCCACGGCACGGCACCGTTCTCCGCGTACCAGGCCCGTGTCATCCGGGCGGTGGCCGAGCGGCACCAGTGGGACGCCTTCGTCGACCTGCACAGCGGGGCGCGGTCGCTGAACCTGCCCTACGGCCGCCGCGCCGAGGGCAGCAGCGACCTCCAGGAGCAGCTGCGCGCACTGGAGGGCGTGCGGTCCTTCTGCCCCGACTGCCGGCAGGGGCCCGCCCGCGCCGTCATGGGCTACGACAACCCGGGGCAGCTGATGGACTGGATGTGCCCTTCTTCAGCCACGCGCAGGGGGGGGGGGGCGGTAGGCGGAGGGGGGAGGGAGTCTTAGAAGAACCTTAGAAGGCGCGGGCCGTGTCTATAGATGTAGGGGCAGCGCCTTCGAAGGAGAAGCCTCCTTCTAAGAAGCCTTCCCCCCTCCCCCTACCCCCTTTGTGCTTGCCGCCAACCTCCCGGGGGGGGGGATGGGGCCAGGGGAAGGCCAGGGTGGGGGCAGAGATCGTTCCAGAGCGTCCCAGAACGCTCTGATGGCGCTGCGCAGCGCTGAGGAGCGGCCGAGGCGTCCGAGTTACGTCTTCCAGAACCGCCAGATCTTAGAGATCCCTTGTCTGTCTCGGTCCAATGTTGTCCTGCTCTTGGCTTCGCGAGGTCCAGCGCCGGTAGGTCCAGCGCCGAGAATATTCGAATGTTTATGCCAATGCCGATGTTTCTTCTTCTGTGATGGGATGGACGCGCCTCGGGAGGAATTCGGCTGCACATCAGAGCGTGCCTGAATTTCGATGGGTGCAGGGGGGGACGAAACCCGATGCGGACCGCTACTGTTGCATCGCACGCAACGATCGGCAAGCCGCGCACCAGAGGTCACCCGTGCTTGGGGTCACCCCTGCGCGTGCCCAAGGGCTCGGGGGGTCCAGCGCCGATCCAAGAGATCCGTGCGGAACTCCCAGAATTGATGCCATTGCAGCTGCTTCTTCTTGTTCTTTATGAATAGTTTTATGATTGGTCTTCTGAATGTTATTCATTGTATGATTAATGTGCATTAGAAGTACTAGTCGTGGTATTATTCGCATTTCTATTAGCATTGTTACCATTAGTAAGTTCTAATATTATGTACTATTGTTATTCGCAGTCTTAGCATTCGTATTATTGGTGTTCTTGTTATTGTTTCTTATTTTGTGATGGGCCACATGTGCCCCTGGGGCCCCAGCGGATTGCGGACCGTGGACATCCTCGGGACCTCTCATGGCCTGCGGGTGCCTCGGCTGACCCCCAGACAGGGGCACCTCGGAAGTCCCAAAACGATGCGGTGACCACACCGTCGGGTGAGTCAGTGGGGATTCGGGGAGACCGCGCCGTCGTTCTCTGAGGATGTCTCGGACGATTGTCACCGCACCGTTTTGGGAGCCCCACAGGCCGCTGGGGCCTCACGGGGGCCCGCGGAGGCTTCCCGAGACCACTGGCAAGGTACGAGGACCGCGGGGTGAAGTACTCCTACGTCTGGGAGGTCTTCGCCGCGACCGGACTCTGTGCCCCCCACTTCAACCCCGTCAGCGCGGGAGAACCCGACAGGCTGGTCGAGCAGTGGTGCGGCGCTCTTGCGGCATTGGGCGAGTACGTGCTCGAGCAGGTGTAGGGGCACTCAATCGCTTGCGGAGGAGACGAAACGCGAGACGACGCCCGATCGGACGCACACGGTTGCCACCACGGCGTTCATATCAAGTCCCGGATCAATATACATCAATTTCCGGATTTGTATACGACGAATTCGGGATCAGTACATATAACGGGTAAAAGCACGGCAATGTGTTTCTTGATGGGCCGACCATTGCGACACACAATAATTATACAAGATACCTACATACATGCATGCATACATGTGTAAACACACACAGATATAGATGTGTACAAGCACGAGTGCGACATTGTATATATATATATATATATATATATAGAGTCTGCTCTTTTACTGGACATACCTACATATATACATACATGCATGCAAACAAGCAGACATACATGTGTACGCACATGCACACACATACACATGCTTATACATAACCACATAAGATACGGCAATAAGAACGGCATCCGTGTTCTATATTTCTTACCGTTCTAGTTCCGATCTCGCCGCGCAGTACCTTCTCTGCACAATTACATTCAGTAACACAACCTTTTCGTCTGTACATGGATCCAGATTCCACTTTTGCATGGTTGGAGGATGCTCAGAAGTGCAGGCCATTACACATGGAAGTCTTGTGGAATTGGTAGATGAAGAGAACTGTCGCATCAGTTACTTTAGCATGTGTTGTGTGATTATGATATCCGATTAAGTGACGTCGAGTCGCATACCTATGTATATATATTAATATGCGAATGCATATGCAAAATGCATTACGGATACATATAACTATACATACATATATATATATACATGTATATATATGTATATATATATATATATTGCCTTTGCGCTTGCGCATGAAACCAGTGTTTGGGTGATCCCTTCTTGTCGAAACAACGTATTTAGGTTGTTATGTCCCGCTTGGTTAGAGGCGTGAAACAGGAGGCTGGCCCACCTGAGAAGCGTTTCCCTCATTTCCAATACGCGTACCCAAAGCCTTTGCGTAGTTGCCACGAAGCTCCTGCAGAGATCATGTAACATTTCTGTATCAAGTTCGCACGTTTTCCAGACATGTGTTCCAGCGTCCGTGCCAGTCTATCCCAGAGGCGTTCACCCGCCTTTGATTGCGTTGTTAATTTAGTTTTAGACGTCACATGTTTTGTTGTATTGTGTTTCTTTTCGCAGTTTTGTTTGCTGATTCCTTTGCCTTGCCGTGCGCCAGATTGGAATCATGTTTTCGGTTAGTTCGCGCATTGCCGTCGGCAGACATGCTCGGCCCTGCGCTGTGCATGCTCTCCCCCCGCTATGCTGTGGCCCGCTCGCGGGGCAAAGTTCCCACGCGGGTTGCATTTAATTATTGCCATGCAGTTTCGTCCACTGATGGGATGGCGCTACTCTGTTGCAGTGGTGGCAAGTTATTTCCTGATTGTGCCCCGCCCTTTCATGTCCCGCCCGCTGGGCCCGACCCGCGCGCTGGCCGCCCACTCGGCCCGTTCGCTGGTGTCCCGCCAGCCAGCCAGACCCGACCCGTCCACGCAAGCAGTGGCTCCGCCCGCGGAGGCCCTGCACTTTCGTGTGCCGCAAGCCCGACCCGCGTCGCCCGGTCGAGCAGTGGCCCTGGTCGACGACGCAGTACGCTTTAATGTCCGCCCGCCCGACCCGACCTGACCCGTCGCCCGCAGAGCGGTCTAAGTCGAGGTGCCCCGTATTTGCGTGGCTTGGCCGGCCGACCCGACCAGCGCGTCCGAGTGCGTGCCCCGCCCGATCGACCCGATCTGCCCGCGCGAGCCGCAGTTTTACATAGTGGGGCACCTCATTTTAATGCCCCGCCCGCCCGCCGCCCGTCGCCCGACCCGCACGCCCGTCTGAGTAGTGGTCATGTTCGATAGGGCCCCCACGCTCCAATGGCCCGCCAACCTGGCCATCCCCGGCCGCCCGATAGCTATCATCGTTCCTCCTATTCCTTCATTTCTTCCCCCTCGTCCTGCTCGTTGTCCTCCTTTCCTTGCGCATCCTCATCCATCTCCTCATGCCCTCTACTCGTCAGTTTCCCCTGCCTCCACCCGCCACCTCCTCTGTTTTCGTCATCCTTGCGCGTTTTCTCTCTTCATTGTGATTATACATGCTGTCCTTGGTTTTCCCCCTCGTCCCCCGCATGCTCTTGCTCAGCCTGCGCCCCCAACACCCACAAAACCCAGCGAAACTGCAAAAACGCAAAGTTGCACTCAATATCTCCGGGCAGGCGGAGGATGAGGAAAACGAGGAGGGACGGAGTATGAGGAGCATGAGGATACAGAGGATATGGAGGAGGACGGGATGAACAGGAAGATGGGAAAAGGGGATGAGGAGCGAGGACCAATACGGATGGTGGGAGGAGGAGGAGGAGGAGGAGGAGGAGGAAGAGAAGAGAAGGAGGATGACGAAGAGGAAGGGGAGGAGGATGCAGGAAGATAGGCGGAATGATGATCACGAGGATGGAAAGAATAGAGGTGGAGGGAAAAATTGAGGAAGGCCTTGGGAAACGAAGGATGCCATGAGGGAGGAGAAGGAAGACGAGGAGGAGGAGAAGGAACGACCCGCGCGCTGACGCGCCGTACCCGACCTGCGCATGGTTCTCCCGCCAGCCTGACACGACCCGCCTTCCAGAACAGTGCCCGATCCTTCGTGCCTGGTCGACAGGGTCCTACTCGTCGGAGTCTTGCGCTTCAATGTTCCGCCCGCGCGCCCCCCCGCCCATGGAGAAGCCTTAGTCGATGCGTTTTGCATTTTACAGTGCCCCGCCCTGCCGACCCGACAAGCCCGTCTGAGTGGTGGTCCTTGTCGGCGGGGCTCCGCATTTCCATGTCTGTCCCGACCGAGCCGACCTGCCCGCACGATGAGTGCCTTCTGTATTCGATGGGGCCTTTCACTTTAGTGTCCCGCCCGCCCGACCCAACGCGTGCTGTCTCGTTTACGCATTACGGTTCAATGTCCCGCCCGCCCGACCCGACCCGCTTGTTAGGGCCCGCCCCCCGACCCGCTTGTCAGGTCTCACGCGTGCGACTTCGATGATGCACTATATTTTAACGTCCTGCCCGCCCGACCCGCCCGTTAGGGTGCGCCCGCCCGCCCCGACCCGCTTGTTAGGGTTGGCCCTCCCGACCCGCCCCGCCCGCTAGAGCTTACGCGTGCTCGTTCTATTACGCACCACAATTAAATGTCTCGCCCGTCCGACCCGACCCGCCCGTCAGGATCCGCCCGCCCGACCCGCCCCGCTTGTCAGGGCTTACGCGTGTTACTTCGACTACGCACCACACTTGAATGTCCCGCTCGCCCGCCCCGATCCGCCCGTTAGGGTGCGCCCACGTGACCCTGCCGATCCGTGAGTGTTGGCTTTCTCGACCCGGTCCGCCCGCCAGGGCTTTCGCGTGCCCACCCGATGACACGCACCACATTTTAATGTCCCGCCCGCCCGACCCAAACCGCCCATTCAGATCCGCCCGCTTGGCCTGACCCGCTAGGGCTTGCGCGTGATACATCGGTTATGCTCCCGTTCCGCCCGGCCCGACCCGCCATTTAAGGTCCTCTTCGTACCCGCCCCGCCTGTTAGGGCTCACGCGTGTTCACTCAGTTATGCACCACAGTGTAATGTTCTGCCCGATACGACCCGCCCGGCCCGCCCGAAACGCCCACTGGGGTTCGCCCGCACGTCGCAACCCGCCCGTCATGGGTCACGTGCTTTCTCAACTGTGCATCGCGCCGGCCGGGTCCCATGTAGCAGCCTGAGGATGAGTGGCTCGCCAGGCAGGCTTTGTATTCTTACCGACCTAGCAGCAGCTGGATTGGTATCCCGCCGTGCCGACCCCTTGCCGGATGGGTATCCCGCTGTGTTGGACGGATTTTTCTACCCATCCAGCGGCCGCTGGCTGGGTATCCCGCCGCGGCGTTTGGTATTTTTACCCATCCAGCGGCCGCCAGATAGGTATTCCACCGTGCCGGCTGCGTACCCCTACGTTATCCCTCCGTGACCGCTCGATGTATCCAGCGGCCGCCGGAGGGGTATGTTGCCGTGCCGGCTGTGTACCTTACCCATCCAGCGGCCGCCAGATGGGTGCCTCGCAATGCCAGCTACGTATCCCTACCCATCCAGCGGCCGCCAGATGGGTATCCCGCCGTGCCGGTTAGGTACCCTTACCCATCCAGCGGCCGCTGGATGGATATCCGCCGTGCCAGCTGGGTACCTTTCCACATCCAGCGGCCGCCAGATGGGTATTCCACCGTGCCGGCTGGGTGCCCCTAGCCATCCAGCGGCCGCCCGACAGGTACCCCGTCGTGCCAGTTGTGTACCTTACCCATCCAGCGGACGCCAGATGGTCATCCCGCCGTGTTGGCTAGGTACACCTCCCCATCAGGCGGCCGCCAGATGGGTATCTCGCCATGCTTGTTGGATACTATTACCCATTGCCGCCGGAGAAGTATCTCGCCGTGCCGGCTGGGTGTCCCTACCCATCCAGCGGTCACCAGATTGGGTACCCCGCCGTGCCAGCTGGGTACCCCTACCCATCCAGCGGCCGCCAGATCGTTATCCCTCCGTGACCGCTCGATGTATCCAGCGGCCGCCGGATGGGTATCCTGCCGTGCAGGCTGGGTACCCTCATCCATCCAGCGGCGGGCCGGATGGGTATCCCAATGTGCCGGCTGGGAACCGCTACCCATCCAGCGGCTCATCTTGATGCCGCTGGCTAGGTATCCCGCCGTGCCAGTTGGGTACTTTTACCCATCCATCGGCCGCCAGATGGTTTCTTGCCCTGCCAGGTGGGTACGCCTACCCATCCAGTGGCAGCCGGCTGGGTATCCCGCCGTTCTGGCTGGGTACCCCTACCCATCCAGCGCCGGATGGGTACCCCGCTGGTTGGCTGGGTGGATGGGTATCTCAGTGCCCCCCCATGCTGCGCCAGATGGGTACCCCTACCCATCCAGCGGCCGCCGGATGGGTATCCCGCCGTGCTGGCTGGGTATTCTTACCCATCCAACGACAGATGGTTATCCGCCGGATGATTATCTCAGTCCCCCCCCCATTCTGCCGCCGGATGGGTATGCCGACGCGCCTGCCGGGAACCCCTACCCATCCAGCGGCCTGTGGCTGGGTATGCCGCCGTGCCGGTTGGGTATTTTCACCCATCCAGCGGCCGCCGGATGGATATCCCGCCGCACCAGTTGGGTACCCCTACCCAT